AAAAGGGCAGCGTATGAGTCCAAAAATTTGTTCAAAAATGCCCAAACAAGTATTCCCTCGGTGGACGGTCCCAGCAACTCCAACCATAACCAGACCATGAGGAGAAGAAGCACATTTCAGTCCATGGGAATCTAGGTTGGGACTGAGAAAAAGATACTCTTCTTTCACTAGGGACAGCAGACGAAGGCTCACAATTTCTGCTCCATAGTAGTCTATCACATTTTGTTCAGAGGTGTTGTAATAAAACCTAAGCTTGACATCGTGCCAGAAGTGCTGTGGCCCCCATTCATCTTGAGGTGGTCCCAGAAAAGGATTCTGAGAATTAAGAAGTTCAAAGAACCAGTGACAAAATTCTTCTCCTAATCGACGAAAATCAACCTTTTCAGCTTTTTTATCTTCTTTTTCCTGCTGATTAAGATAAATAAAATATAAAATATAACAAAGGTCAGTTCTCTTATCTTTTTTTCTACCTAGTCTGTTTTAGAGCTAAGTTTTCATACGCTGAGTATAGCAGAAGCTAAATAAACTACAAGTGAACTCACTGAACCCATCATGCACAAACTGTTTTTCCAAAAAGGGGAAAATCATTTTAGAATTTCCCACCTTAAACATCTGAAAATTCAGCTAAGAAATTAAGGTTTAACAAGGCCTCTCAAAATATCAGCATGAACAGTCAACAATGATTTACGTAAGTATTTTCTCTTGTGTCAGTGGTTTCACAATGTCTGTCAAAACCTTCAACTGATGCTTTAAATGGATATACTTCGTTGCATATAAACTACACTAAAATAAAGTTGGTAACAAATAAGAATTTTTTACTACCTTTAAACAGAGTTCTAATACGATTGAAATACATTACTTTTTATGATTGGGATTATTTTTATACTGTTATTTCTCTTTTTTACAAAGGGTAATGTTATTGCAAAAATATACCTAACAAGCTTGATTTTATTCATCTATGTGAATAGATGAGAATATTCCAGAGCACAGTACCTCATTTTGATGGTAAGAATCTTTTATTGACAGAGCACCCATGATTGAGTATGTCTGGCTCTGTGCTTGGGACTTATGGACTATTTCCTTCTATCTTCACAAGCCTAATTACACAGATACTATCATTATTATGCCTGCTTTATAGATAAAGTAAACAGGGCTCAGGAAAGTCAAGTTACTTGCTCAAGTTCACACCTAGCACAGGGCAGGACCTATTTGAAGTCACATCTGTATGATTTCAGAGTCAACATTCTCTTTAGCATATTAAGAAAGCTCTTAGAAGATCCTTTCCTAATGTGAAAGCAAATTCCTCTTACTGTAAAACCTCACAAATTCAAAGTATGTAGTTTAAAATTTGCAAATTCATGGAAGGGGCTTCTGGAGTGGGTGGCAAATTTCTATTTCCTGACCAGCGTGGTCATTACAAATGTTTTTGCTTTATGGATGTTTATTAAGCTATATATTTGATCTGAAAAAGGGGTTGTCTTTCTGTGCTGTGTTTAAAAAAAATAAAATAAATAAAATTAAAAAAATAAAATTTGCAAATTACCTAGAGTTCATACAGTCAATATTTAAATATTCACACAGTATCTAAAATGTCCAGTGGATACAAAGAAATAGGAACAGACAATGTCAGCTGGAGGAAATTATTACAAGAGGATTTTTCCTAGCTTAAAAAAAAAAATCAAATGTAAAAATTACTTAAGTTTCTCTCATAGAATTTTTACAATTTAATACCTTTACTGGTCTGCTTTACTGGTCCTCCTTTAGAATGCAAAGGATATGATGTGAAGCTAAATTATAAAAGCCAAAATATTAGCCATGTTCCCACAGATCTAGGATTATCTAAAGAGTTTAGACAGAACTATGATTTAGGGTATAAATATAAGATCTATTTTACCTGTTGAAATAGTCTAATGTCCTCTGTCTTAACTGGCTCAGGTGTTTCCTTCAATTTCAGATGTAACTGCTTTTTCCAGTAATCCTTTGCATGCTGAATAAGATTGTGCTTTTCAGTAGCTGGAGGTATAATAACCCCCTGTGTTGCCAAGTACTTAAATATGACTTCTCGGTGGACTTTCTTACGCTTCAAAAGTTCTTCTACACTTTGACTGTACAATAATATTGCACGAACGGCATCTAGAAGGAAATTATAAAGATTAGTAGAAAATCACAAGTCACTTATAAATCTGTCCAGGGTCAGCAGAAACCCTATCAAATGATATTTATAAATTCCTGTCATGACATTACTCCTTTTTCATGAGATGGTAATTTTTAAAAACCAGAAAGTGGGTTGTCACATTTTGGGTTTAAAAAATTTTTTCTTTATGCTTTAAACTTCCCTATCTAAACTTACTTACCTCTTCCTTTCACTTCTCATAAGATAGTAAAAGTTTTGCATTTTTTTTTAAAGAATGACATGTTTTAAGAAAAAAATCTGAGCCAGAGAAAAAAAATTTTTTCTAAGAAGGCCAATGGACCTAAATTCATTTATAATGCCTAACATAGATAAAATTACAGTTATTTTAGATGTGCAAGGACTTTTAAACTCCTTACTCTATAGACAATGAAAGTTGAGGATATATGAGGTATCAACAATCATGCTTCTAAGAAGTGGCAGAACTAAGACCTGTATTCTTTTTTTAATTTAAAAAAATGTTATATTAAACAGATCAAAGATTTTACATGTATAAAGAATACAGAATAGCAAAAAAATGAACTCCCATGTATACACAACATAACTTAAGACATAAGATATTACTAGTATCTTTGAGGCCCTCATTTTAACCCTCCCTACTTAATACTATTCTCTCTCTCTACTCACCCATCTTAGAGGTAGCTGCTATCCTAAATGTTGTTTATCAATACCTTGCTTTTCTTTATAATTGTACAGCATAACTATGAACTCCTAAACAATACAGTTTGGTATTTTTGGAACACACTATAAATCCAATCCATATATATACATACGCACACACACACACATACAGTCTTCCAAATTCAGCTTTTCACTTAATGTCGTTTCTGACATTAATCTGTGGATATATGTAGCTCTAGCTAATTTTTTGACTGTTAATTCATTTAACTGTACCACAGTAAATTATATGACTACATCACAAGGTTATCTATCCTTCTGTTCATAGATTTTTACTGGGTGTGTCCAATTACTAACACCATCACTTTGAACATTTTCATAAATGTCTCCCAGTGCATAGAGGGGCAAGCAGCATGAGGATCACCTGGGAGCTGAAGAAATGCTGAATTTCTGGGCTCACTCCAAAACTACTGAATCAGAATCTGCATTTTTCACAAGAGTCCTGAGGGATTGATTCACAGGCACATTCAAGCTTGAGAAGCTCAGGTCCAGAATATGAGCCCGGAAATAAGCAAATAATTCCACTTAGAGATGATGTCAAACTTGTTTTCCAAGGTTCTAATTTACACTCCTCCAATTGTCAAAGAGCTGCTTTGCATGATCACCACGTTTAGTTTTTTGCCAATATGGTAGACAGGAAAACACTGTGTTTTGGTTTTCATTTCATTGCTTTGTAAAGAGATTATCTTTTCATAATAAACAAACAAAGAGATGATCTTTGCATATGCTTATTATTTTCTTCCTCTCTGAGAAATTATCTCTCCAAATCATTTAACATTTCTGTACTGGGAAGTTTCTTTTTATTTGCTTTTAGACCCACCATCAATTAAATCCAACATTTTTATCTATTACAATTTTAAACTCACACTCACAAGGACTGTTAGGTGGTGATTAGCATGTGAAATAGATAAATGCTTAAGAACTATATTAAGTCAAAAAAAAAAAGAACTATATTAAGTCTAAAACTATTTGCATTCTTAATTCTTAGGAATTTCTTCTTTTAATGTTTGAGGAAACATTTAAGTTTGAAGTTTCAAATGAATGATTTTCTTAAATGGCAAAAACGTAAATCCAATTTAAAACCAGAGAAATACAGATTATGCTTTTGTAGTTATTTAAGTCATACTAACAGAGAAGTCTGGAGTTTTCACATTTTAAAGTAAGACTGTTCCGATGATATGCCAAGTGAAATACACACACAGGCTTCTTGATTACATTTTTATATGGAGTAGCTACAATCAATACTGATTGAATATTAATAACCCTTTAAATCTACTCTACAGAAATGTTCATTTGGCTCTGAAAGCAACGTATTCCTACTACGCAAAACCATCTCAGAAAAAAATTAGATCCCAAAAGAGACAGGGATTCAAACTCTCTGCTCTTTTATTACAGTAGTTTTAACTACAAGGCTGAAGTGTTTATGATATCCTCCCAGAGGCCTGAAGAAGAAAACTTGAGTCAGCAGCTGACTCCTCAGATCAGCCGAAAATGAAAATGAAAAACACCCTGGAAATTCTGAAATCACTATTCACGTACTCTAAATTCTCGAAAAAAATAAGCATTTGCCCATACATCCAGCAGGTAAAGCCTGGAAGCAGCGCGGTTTCCAGTGCCACCACCTCTCCCGGGGATGTGGCGCTTCAGGGGCCTGAAGGCGCACGGCGGTTCCCAGGCCGGGAGGCAGCGGCTGCGGCCGGGACTCTCGAGAGTTCCGCCCCAGTACCGTTGGACCCCGTTGCGGGGCGAGGTCTCGCACCTCCTCTACTCCCCCGTTCTGGCAACCTGGGGCCCTCGTGAGGTTTTGGGAGGGGCGTCCGCCCCTGGGGAGAAAAGTCAACACTTACCTTGCCGGTCCTCAGGCTGCACCAGGCGGTTGGTGATGGTGTCGCACAAGGCCATGATATCATCGTTGTCTAGTAGGCCGAGGAGGTTACGGCAGCCCTCCATCTCTGGATAGCTGAGCCCCGACATCTCGACCCCCAAAAGGCGGGGGGAAGAGGACGACCTAGTAATGCCGTCCCTGCAGGCCCACCAGGCCGGCGCCTAGGCAACATACACCGGAAGTGCCTTTCCTGTTGTTCGCCGCCAAAGGGCCTCGGGTATTCCAAACCCCTGGGCGGAAGTGATTGCCAACAAGGTCAATCAGGAAATGCGGTGCTCCGACTTGTCGTTCCGGGCTGGACAGGACGGAGGGGAATCCAACGGATCTCATTTCAGGAACTACCGCGTTTGCACCGAGAACAGCGATCTTCCACAAGGAACCTGGTTCCAGAAAGCGATGCCCTTTACTCTGAGGAGTCCAACCTCCAAAAATGCGCCTGGAAGAGCTGCGCAGGTGCAGGTGCGTGGAAAGCGGGTGGCGGTTCCTGCGCACGGCGAGCTCCCGTGATGCCGCGGGGCCGGCCAATGGAGGCGCCTGCTCCCCGCCCGTGGGCTAGACCCCCGGGAGCGCTTGAACGTCCTCTGCGGCCAGTTCTGAGTTGGGTGCACCTGTAGTTTGATGTTCTTAAATTATGTAGTACGGTGTTAAAATAATTTGGTTCTGTTTAGCAATAGACTATGAAAGGTTAAAAAAAAAAAAAGTCACCTATCACATGCCATGCCTTCTTGCTTTCATCTGTACCGGATCGGCTGTTGCTTGATTCCGGTCCTCGCCGGCTTGGTTTTAGACGATGCTGTATCGCGAGCAATTTAGGGCTGGGGACTCTGGAAGCCAGATTACCAGGGTTTTACTCCGCCACCATTCGCTAACTGTGACCGTGGACATGCTTCTTAGCCTTTTTGTCCCTCAGTTTCCTATCTCGAAATGGACCTAGTAGAGTTAGCTACATCATAGGGTTGCAGGGGCGGGGGTGCGGGGCGGGGTGAAGGACAGTGCCTGGCACCTAGAAGGAACTCAGTGCATGTTAGCTGCTGCTGTTAGTGTGGCAGCAACTCGTATTCACCAATGGAAAAGTCATGCTGGACTCGACCGAGAGCGATGAAGAATCAGGCTTAAACATCGTTACTTGCCTCTGGCCTCTTCCACATTTTAGGCATATTTTTGATTTGTTAACATTTAATTAGGGTATTGCCATTTTGTAGCTGAAATGTACATTTCTGCAGATTCAGGTGAGCAAATTTAACGTTTTAAAAAATATAACAGCTAAATGTCAGTTTTAAAATAAATTGTAAATGTAGCGTAGGCATTCAAAGCATGGTTATACTAATTTGCCAGTGGATATTATTTGGGGTATCATTTACTCAACAGATAAAAATCCTTCATTTTTCGGGGCGTCTAGGTGGCTCAGGTCATGATCCCAGGGTCCTGGGATCGAGCCCCGCATGGGGCTCCAGCCCCGCATCGGGCTCCCTGCTCAGAGGGAAGCCTGCTTCTCCCTCTCCCACTCCCCCTGCTTGTATTCCTTCTCTCGCTGTTTCTCTCTGTGTCCAATAAATAAATAAAATCTTTTTTAAAAAAATCCTTCATTTTTTATTAAGTATTAATGAGTATGTACTATGCTAGGTATTGAAGATTCAGAGAAATGACACAGACCCTCCTTTCAAGGATCTTTTGAGAGTGCTGCAAGGGCTGGCAAGTGCTCATCATGCTGGTGTGGGACCATATACAAGGCATACCCAACCTTTTCTTTCATTCATTTCTTCATTTAAAAAGGGGAAAAAAAGTATTTTTTTTTTTAAGATTTTATTTATTCATTTGAGACACAGAGATACAGAGAGAGAGAGCATGAGCAGTGGGAGAGGCAGAGGGAGAGGGAGAAGCAGACTCCCGGATGAACCAGGAGCCCGATGTGGGGCTCGATCCCAGGACCCTGGGATCATGACCTGAGCCTAAGGCAGACGCTTAACCATCTGAGCCACCCAGGCGCCCCGAAAAAAAGTATTTATTGAGCACCTATTTGCCAGACATTGTTCTTTGTGTTGGAACAAATACAGTTTCTTTGGAGCTTTCAGTCTAGTGGGAAGAAATAGACAGTAAACATATAAGAAACTATATACTATGCCAGGAAATGCTATGGAGAAAAATAAATCAAAAGGAGGGGGATGGAGCAGATGTTGCGTTTTTATACAGACTGTCAAGAGAGACTTCTCTAAGCAATATTGAAAGGAAGACCTGAGGAAAGTGAGTGAAGCACAGAAGAGTGTTGTAGGAAGAAACAATAGTAGAGGTTCCAAGGAAGAAGCAGAGTGCTTGGCAATGTAGGAAGGAGGCCAGAGCAGCGTGTTCAAGCAGGAGGCAGTGAGGTTAGAGTTGCAGTCAAGATTGATCTAGAGCAGGGTTTCTCAGTCGAGGCACTATTAACATTTTGGGCAGGATAATTCCTTGTTTGGGGGCTGTTCTATGCATTGTAGGATGTTTAACAGCATCCCTTGCCTCTACCCACTAGATGCCAGTAGCACCTCCTCCCCCAAGTTGTGGCTACCAAAAATATCTCCCAATTTACCAAATGTCCCCGGGAGGCAAAATCATCCCCAGTTGAGAACCACTGATACAGAACCACCTGTCCAAAAGTACTTTGAGATAATGAAAGTGTTCTGTATCTGTGTTGTTCAGTATAGTAACCATGAGCCACATGTATCTGTTGAGCAGTTGTAATGTGGCTAGTACAATCAAGGAACCGACTTTTAAGTTTTATTTGAATTTTAGTTAAATTTTAATAGCCATATGTGGCTAGTGGCTACTGTATTGGATATTGCAGATCTAGAGCCTTGCAGGCCATTGTGAAGACTTTGGCTCTTTTATTCTGTTATTCTCTCAGTCTCTTACTCCAGACTAGTCACAGGGGTCCCCTTGCTATTTGTTCCTTAAACTTGCCTCTTGCTTTTATTTAGTTGAGAGAGGAGCAAGCAAGACACAGAGCACGAGTGGGGGTGGGGGGAGGGGAGAGAGGCAGATTCCCCTCTGAGCAGGGAGCCCAAGAACAGGGGCTCCATCCCAGGACTCTAGGATCATGACCTGTGCCAAAGGCAGACGCTTAACTGACTGAGCCACCCAGGCACCCCCCGAAATTTAGAATTTCTAAGAAGTTCTTAGGGGGCACCGGGGTGGCTCAGTCGTTAAGTGTCTGCCTTCAGCTCAGGTCATGATCCCAGGATCCTGGGATCGAGCTCTGCATCAGGCTCCATGCTCCGCGGGAGGCCTGCTTCTCCCTCTCCCACTCCCCCTGCTTGTGTTCCCTCTCTCGCTGTTTCTCTGTCAAATAAATAAAAATCTTTAAAAAAAAAAAAAAGTAGTAGTTCTTAGGTGATGCTAATTTTGCTGCTCCAGGGACCACACTGTAAGAATCACTGCTAATAGAAGAAAGTGAAACATCAGCCACCTACTCCTACCAGACTTCATCCTTTGTCTCTGAAATCATTGATCCTCAGGCAGGTCTGACTCTATTTGGATATATTATAGCCACTCATGCTCTGTATTTGCGGGGAAAACTGCATGGTAGAATGAAAACTGCTTGGCATTATGGTTTTAGGAGGACACATCTGATTTTTCAATCCCACCTCTCCTGCGTGACTTCGGTCAAGTTATTTAATGTTTTTGAGCCTTGGTTTCTAAAACGCAGTGTTCCTATCTTTGAGTTTTAACAATTAGGGGTAACGTATATAAATTAGCTAGTATATAGTAATTTAGTAAAACAGGAGACATTTCTTCTCCAGTGTGTAGCACTCATAAATAAGGCATGAACCTCTCCCCTACTTTTAGTTTTAATTCCACATAATACTGGATTGCTGCTCCATTTGACATCTTCATATACAGCCAAAACTCCTGACCCTTTTATTTGTTGATTCTTGAAGCTGGTATGAAATTTATATTAAGCTCTGAAAAGCAACCTCTTTTGTTTATCTTGGAAGCATACTTAGTAATATTGCTTTCCAGAATTCCTCAAGTCTCAGGAAAAAAAAAGTCTAGGTAACTCCAATACCTTTATCTAAATACCTCAGTACATTTAATAGTCTAAAATCATATGACCAAAAGCATAGACTGAGAATTCCAGATCTCAGCTCTAGAATGCTTGAATAACTTTCCCAGTGTTTTTCAAAGCATGTTTGCAGTATGTGCAAATCACTGGACATAGCACCGTCCTTTTATTTGCATTGCTATCATCGCATCAAACAGGGTCTTTTTCTACTTCAGCCCTCATTTTTTTCTAGTTGCAAGTTATAGCAAAGGGTATAGGGTGTTTTCCTTTGTTAGTCAACCAAAAAAGTAGGAGCCCTCATGCCCAAGGACTCACTTTTAACTACAGATTAATTGGTTTACATGTTTTCCCCCTGAAATGCTTTTTAGGAAGTCATTTTCATCAATATTTACACCTTATTTCAAAGTGACTTCCCAGTGTTTTTTTTTTTTTTTTGAGTTCCACCAGATGCTGTTCATCTTTTGAAGATTTACCAACACACTTTCACTTAGAGAGTTGCGATATTTGTCTACCTACTAAGTTTGCAGAGGGTACCCAAAATAACTTTAATAACCAGCATTCTGTCAACTTGTAATTCCTGCATGTAGACGTTAGTTAAAATAATGTCTAAAATGTTTTATGTAAACTTCTAGATTTTTCTATTTTAAAATGTTTTTAAAAATTAGTCATTTGAATATGGTAATATTAACTGAAATAATTCATTCTCTTATGAGACATAATAGAAACTTTCTTATTTACTACATACCTTAAGCCTAATTCCTTTTGAAGCAGTGTGCTACATAAAACTGAACACTTCATTACCAACAAGGACAATGTTTTATTGAACAAGTCTATGTACAGTACAAAAAATTTCTTGAAATGAGACGCTATTGTTGAATTATTGCAGTTCAATGGCTCAGTTTTAATTTGTACTCTTATAAAATGCAAAGTAAAATAATTTAATGTTCAACAAGGAAGCACAAATTTCCTTTCTTGCTGAATCTGTAATATCTTTCACATATTAACAATTCCAAAATGCATATGCAGCATTTAGGCATTCTGAAAAGGTGTTTTACAGTACCAAATAAATTAAAAGATAAACACTATCATCCCTTTTAGGTTTTTCATCCATACAACAGTTTAAACCAAACATGAAAGGAGTACGGCTGAACCTTCAAGTGTGATTTGAAAAGAATCACAAGTTCAGTGTTATAAGTTATCTACTCATTATATAATCGGTGGTTTAAAAAAATGAATATGGCTAAAGCCCAAAGTACCAGTGTCCTTGTCCACGGAGATCCCTCTTTTGTGTAATATCTGAGCAGCAAAAATTCAGATTTGCTATTTTCTTGACCTTACTGAAATAGCAGAAAGTTTATAGTTACTGTTTTGAAGGAAATTTTTATTAAAAAAATAAGAATTGAAACTTGGTCCATGTAAGATAAGCATATCCTCAAAACAGAAGGAAGAGAAAGTAAAAGAGAAGAATCTGAAGAATAAGAAAGCTTCCTTTTCTTCTGAATCCTAAATTAGAACTGTTGGAAGTTTATGCACCCCACCGAAGCAAAATGATAGAAGGTTATGCTTTATAAGACATAAATAATGAAATGTATACATACTTTCAATAGCAATTATTTGAGAAGTATATAAAGAGGTTTAGAACAGCATGGCCAAGTAGATTTTTATAAAACATTCCTTGATTTAATTATGTATAAACCGATTTGATCTAAGTGTTTCAGAAAGTTTTCCCTTAGCAACACAAAAGTAGAAATAAAACCTCAAATTAAAGACAAAATTAACAAGTGGAATATGCTTAAAACATCTTGGTACGAACTGCAGAATGAATGAAAATAATTTGCAGAGATGGATTTGTCAATAGATACAACTTATAAAAAAATAAAAAGTTAAAAAATGTCATAAAATGTTAAGTTGTAATTTTAAACTTCTGGAAAATGTACAAAGCAGAAATTATATTTCAAAAAAACTTCATTGTCCAAATGAACTAGTTTCCAAACAGACTCTTTATTACATGATGTATTTTATACTGAACTGAAATAGAACTCAAGTATTATATTTTCAGTATCAGGAAGTACAGAAGGTGTTTTTTTCTGTTTGTTTTTTTTTAGTTGACCCTAAGGGATTTAAAAATCTGATTGTTTACTTGTTATTTAAATCCACAGCCTAATGTAGGCTACACAAACAAAACAAAAACCTTAATTTGATTGAAACGGGCTTGTGACTATCAATTGCATAGTAGTGAATGAATAAATAAACTAATAAAATTGGGCTTTTTTTTTTTTTGAGATCTTTCATGACCTAGAAATCCCGATTTAGTAAAGTCTGGATGCCACCTTGGAAGGAATGTCCCCTTCCTTAGTGACTTTTCAAGAAGCTTAATATCCAAAAATTTCTAATAGTAGAATCCAGTAAGATTATCTGCTTTGAACAAAAATGTATCAGTTGGAATAACTGGAATATTTGGTTGACCATGGTACATTAGTAGCTCCACCTTTTAAGAATTTGCCTTTGCATTTTTGTTCATTTTATCCCTGCTATAGATTAACACACTAACAGGTAAAAGAAGGTCTTTAGGCTTCCTCTTTTAGAGAATGTACAAGTGGAACATATCTGAGGGGGTATTTTAAAAAGCATTTTGTGTTTTAACAATTCATTGCCTAATAAGTTAAAATCTTCCTTAGGAAAATTACTGGTTATCAAGGAAAATAAAAGCATCAATATATCTTAACTGTGTTCCTGCTGTGCAAATTTTTGTGTAAATATTTCCTTTTATATATAAAAATTACTATTCAGACCAAATTCATAACTAATAAATAAGAAAGCATGAGTAGTAGTATGGCTTATTTTAGAATTAACTCTACTAACTGAATAAAACCAATGAATTCTTGACCTGATTTTAGCTGACATTTTTTCTTTTTTTTACAGCCAGTTATTTTTATAGGACTGTACTTAGATAACTCACATTAATGTCTAAAAGGACCTTACCATGAATCATCAAGCAATGTCCTAACACTACTCTATATACAAATAGAAATATCCCAGTGTGCTTATACCATTATTCACATTGAGTTATTTGCAATTCAGTGTTTTCCTTCCATTAGATAGCCTTTATGGTCCTAGATTCCTCCCATCTCTCCCCAAAGTTACTGATGGTACTTCTTCTATTTAATGGACACTGCTGCCTTTAAATATAATTCACTCGTATTACAAAAATGGAAAGTGTAAAGTTCTATTAAGAGCTTATCAGCAAAGTATTGTTTTGTTTTCTTTTGTTTTTTAATTTCCAATGCTGGCATAACATTCATTGAACTCTGTCCTGTCTAATCCATCATCTTGGAAACAAGTTACAATCTTTTATGGATAGCATGGTGATAAATCAAGTTTTATTTTCACGTATCAGTTTCTAAATTATAATAAACCAAATAGCAATAGTTCTTTAAACCATGTTTGAAGAGAAGGGAGGACATAATCTGATTATGCATGACAAGAAAACAAATCTCATTTGTAGAATACTTCAAGTTGTTTATTGTAAACAATAAACCCCTCCCCTTTTTTTAATAATGGATTAACTTTTCCCTTTCTGTAAGGCCATAGCTGGTTTTTCTTTCTGACTGGTTGCCTGAACATGTTTCTCACATAAGTGAAACTGAACATGCTGCATTAAGTCATCAACTTTTTAAAGAAATGTGGTTTTCTGGATAACTGGTACTTTGGGAGTTTTGTAATAACCCTTTTGGAGTCTAAACCAGCACATCTCCTCTCTGAGTTCATTCTAGAAAATGTGCTTTGTCTTTATCTTTAGTAATCCAAGACCGCTTGAAAATTAAGGCCATCAGGAAAATAGCAAACTGATGATGCAATTTCTTGCAGTGCTTTTTTCGCACTACTGCTTGATCGACAGATCTTTCTGAAACATTTTTATCAGGCACCTGTAAAACAGAACATGTCTGTTAATTCAAATTTTATAGTTCAACTGAAATTCTAAGTCAGATTCCTGTTTATACTCTTACTCATTCAAGAAATATATTAGTAGAAAGGCAAGATCTTCTTTTGCTCAATTTTGTCTTTCAATTATTTTCTGGTTCTTTTTCACTTCTGTTTCTGTAAAAGCAGCTCAACTTCACTTGATTTATATTCTGGCATGCAAATGAAAAACATGTCCATCACAATTACTTTGTTTCTGAAACTTTTATTACATAAAACTTGTAATGAAGAAATGCCTCAGACACAGTGAATGAGTATGATCAAAGAGTATGAAAAACTGTGTCCAAGTTCTGACTTCCACAAGTTCATAGGCTATACCTATACAAATTACTTAACTTTGTGAAATTTCAGCTGCTTGACCTATAAAACAGGAGTAGTAACATCACCTTAAATAGTGTCTATATGGATTAAAAGAAATAATGTATGGGGTGGTGCTTTATTATCTGTGCTATACAAATGTTAACTTTCTTAACCTCATAAAGATCTGTGGCATTTTCTATTTCTACAGACAGACCTATTGAGAAGATAGAAGACTTACTTTCATCATCTGAATCAAATCCAAAGAGTGTCTGACATTTCTTTTGTGCAAGGTGAGCCTCAAGTGCTTCTGCATTACAGTAGGTGGTCAGGCATTTGCCACATCTTAATCTTTTCATGGATTTTTTACAAACGTTATCTTGATCAGAACAGGCATCTACTCTATCAGTCAGAAATTTTCTGCGTTTTGGCATACTAAGGTACCGTTCATCAAGGTAACTGGGAGGCAGTGGTCTGACATATGGCTTTGTTAAAATTAAGCCATATGAAGTATGTTCACTCGTCAGATTTGGTTTGGAAGGTGCCTGAGATACTGGCAGGGTATTATGTTCTTGTGGTACAACACTAGGTAAAATGGAACCGTTTTCTGTCCTGATTCTATTTGCATCAGTTTTCAAAGCAGGATCTGACGAAACTAAAGGTGTCTGCTCTATTCCACTGTGTCCGTTGACTAAATCACTAATACTACAATTATTTTCAGAATTTGGCTCTATGTCAGGCATCTTTTGGTCTGTCAAGCTTATATCAGAAACAGTGTCATCAGAATGTTCATTTCCATTCTGAACTAAACCATCTGTTTTCTTTTCCATACTTTCTGTACATGTCTTTGGTTCTGTGGAATCTTTCCTTGATTTGCTAGTAGAAACTGGCAGACTAATAGTTTGTTTCTCATTACTAGATGAGTCTTTCTCCTGATGATTAGGATTTGAGTCTGTAAGAACATCCCAAAGAATTGTTTCACTTGGTTGTGCAGATGATTCTGGTGTTTTACTTAAATAGTGCTGAGCCTCATGTTCATATAGCAGAGGAAGATCTTCAAAAAGCTCATGGCATTCTGGAAAACTACACTGAGCTTGAAATATCCTGTGACTTTTTGTGTGCTGAGCAAGCTGGAATGGCAACTTAAACGACTCATTGCAATTAAAATGCAAACAAAAGTACACATTTGGATAGCTGTGTCTATTAAGGTGATCTATAAAATGTTGAGAATCTTCAAATTGCCTCTGACAGAATTTGCATTTTCCTTTGCTCCACTTCATTACTGTTTGCCGCACGTTTAAGTCAGTTGGATGTACAGTCCTTGCGTGTTTATTTAGAAATCCAATTCTTTTAAATATCCTGACACAACCAAGAGCAGGGCACTTAAAGTTTCCTTCTTGATCTGTAGCATATATGTCTTTTGGATGGCACACAGTTCCATTGATTTTATGAAGTACTGAAGTTTCTTGATTCAGGTCATAATCGTCGTCTTCGTAATCACCTTCTTCATCCTCTTCCTCCTCGTAGTCATCCTCACATACAGGCAAAGGCTCTGAGACATTATTTAAAGAAGTATCAGGACTTCCATTTTCAATCATGTTTTCAATAACATCTTCCGATACACTTACGGGAATTTCAATGAATTCAGCCACATGTGCAGGGATGACTTCTTTGTTTCCATCACTGGAAGCAGTAATTGTCTCTATTTCCAAATCTTTATTACCAGAATTCCCATTTTCAAATGAAATGAAAGTATCAGAACAATTTATTTCTTCCAAAGCAGGGATTTCCTGATCCTCTTGTTGAGCTGCAGCAATTTGCTGTCTTTGTATTTTCTTAACATGATTCTTTAAATGCTTCTGCATAAGTCCTCTGTTTCTAAATTTCCTACCACATATTACACATGAAAAACTACCCTTTTTCTGATGAGCCTGGGCGTGCCTTACAATGTGACCACCTAGAAATTCCTTGTTACATAACATACACCGATGCCTTGGGACATTGTGATCTACTCTGGAAACATTAAGAGCCATAAGATTTTTCTTTGTATTAATGTGACCCTTAGGCTGCACTCTAGATATATCATCAGGATCAAGCTCTCCAGTGCTCTGATCTGTAAGAGAGTCCAGCCCTTCATCTAAACCTTGCTGTTCCACTGCCTTTTTTAGATTACCTGTAGAATTTTCCAGTGTACTTTCATTTAGAAATCTGACTGCTGATTTATCACTCAATAATGCTACACAGTTTTTCTTAATCATTACAAAGTTCCAGAATTCGGGATCAAAAAACAATCCCTTTTTCAAAATTGGAAGTAATTCAAAACGAACACGATTTTGAACACTACTTGTGCCTTCGTTATATTCCTCATCTGGACGTTTGTAAAGCTCTTCAACAGTATGATAAGCTTCCAAGGAGCGCTCAAGAAAAAATATTGAGAGTGCACAAATCCTGAGGATCTCCAAATCATTTGGCAAAAAATGTGCAATTGTTTTATAAATTAAACATTTAGTTTTGGGATCATCATGAAGATCGAGTTGTAGAGCACAACCACATATTTCAACACAAATTTGTAGGCCGTCTTCTTCAACCTGGAAAAGGAAAAATATTACTACTAAATACCTTTTAAAAAAAATACTACTATACTTTTATCGTTTTAAAATACAACTCTGGGACGTCTGGGTGGCTCAGTCGGTTAAGCGTCTGCCTTTGGCTCAGGTCATGTTCTCAGGGTCTTGGGATTGAGTCCCACATCAGGCTCCTTGCTCAGAGGGGAGCCTGCTTCTCCCTCTGCCTGCCGCTCCCCCTGCTTGTGCTCTCTCTCTTTCTCTCTCTGACAAATACATACATAAAATCTTTAAAACATAAATAAAATAAAATAAACTCTGAAATGAAAGCTGAATAAACACAGTATTCCAAATGTGCAGTTTTCTTCAACAGGTAGCCTTAACTCTTTTTTAATAATAAGTAAATCTTTCTTTTTTAACTTGAGAATGATCTGGAAGAGATAGCATTTTAGCTTCCAATTTATTTAATTTTCAAATTTCACAATTCCTAGTAACCATAATACAAAATGCCTCATAACCTTATGGTGATTAAGGTTTCTTACAAATCCAGCCCCATTTATTTTAGGTACCAATCTCACATTCTGAGGCAGAAGGTTAGATTAAATGTATTTAAAGCATTTATCAATTTTAACATTTATCAATGTTAAAAAAGAACTATATATTTTTTAAAAAACTGCTTACAGAAACTCATAAATCTGCACTAAAAATATTACTTATTAAGTAATATTATTTATCCAAGTAAGAGGAAAAGTGTGGCCCACATGAAGAAGGCAATTACAATCTTTCCAAATCTAATAAAAATCAGAATAATGAAACTACTTGAAAATTATTCAAGCTTTGAAACTTGTACTGATGACTCAAAGATAACTGCAGTTGGGAATTTATTGTCCACCCACCTTAACTCAAATGATAAATAGATTTGGAATGATATAAATGCTTGTTTGAATAGAAAAAGACACAATAATAATATGTCTTTAAAAGTGTGCGTGCGTGCGTGTGTATGTGTGTGTGTGTGTGTGTGTGTGTGTGTACTGCCTGCATCTCGTATACTGTAGATGACAGGAAGGATCACTACCTTGCCAGCCTCATGGCTTCATCGTCCCTTACATGCTGTCTAACCCTACTTAATTACTTACAGTTCTACAAGCAGACCTTAATTTTGCACATCATAATCCCACTTTATCTAGCTAGTAAACTCCTATCTATTTCCTGTTCATTCTTTGAGAATCAGTTTTACTCTGAAAGTTTTTCTCCCCATTCATTCTGGCCCTAGCCCTGGGGCAGAGATAAACACTCCCTATTCTTTCCACTGAGAATAGTTTATACTTATTTATAAAAAGCACATATATAATTGTTTTGTAACTGTGTATGCCCCTATCCCCTGACTTTGAATTCTTAAATCACAGGGACAGTATCTCATTTTTTGTATCCTCCTATCATAAGCAGAGAAGTTGGCATATAGTGGCCTTTGCAAATGTGAATGGGATCAGATCTATTCTACTGACTTTAACTTCCTCCTGTAAATCCATCATTTCAGCTTGGAATCCTTTTTTGAATTCCTATTTCTTATTTCTGATTATCTGTTACAATTAGTATTTCCACCTAGATTTTCCAGATATAGTGAATTCAAAATCCACTGCTTCAAAACAGAATTCCTTCTCTTTCTCCTAAGTTCTATCTACATCCTCTGTGTTAACTCATGAAATTATCATGTACCCATTTGTCCAAGTCTAAAAATTTTAAGATCATCACAAAAGCTACTTTCTTAACTGAAATCCTTCAATAATTCCAGTATATTTATAGAGTGAAGTTCTAATTTTCAGTGCAGCATGCAAGCCCCTTAAGGATTTCCAACAACCACCCCCCACTCTGTAACTTCCTACAGTCTCTTCAGTTAGCTTCATCTCCCACATACCTCCCCATATTTCTCCTACCCTATTAATGCCAACGGACAGTTGTGAGAAAAACAAGTAATATATATTGTGAGGCAAAAATGCTCTGTAAACTACAAAACCCTCTAGGTTAGTATTATCCTCCTCTATCATTCAAACCTAGCTTAAAGCATCTTCCTCTGTGAAACTTTTTCAGATATGCCATCTGTAATGTCTCATTCTTCTGAACAGCATTGTTTGTGCAGCTTTTCACAGTACTGGGGCACATAAATGATCTACTCCATCAGTAAAGATGTTTTTAGTAGAGTATAAATAGTTAAGCACATTTTTTTTTTTTTTAGTTAAGCACATTTTTAATATTTATTTCATCTTTGAATTTTCCTCGTATACTCTCAGGTTGACTAGATGTGAAAATAAGAAAGCTTTATGTTAACCGTGTGAACTTCACCTATACTGTAAACTTTTTATAACAAAAATCCTTCAACTTGTGGTGCAAATAAGAATCCTATGTAAAAAGTACATATGGATACTTTTTTTTTTCTTTTTAAGTTTTACAGGTGATTCTGATGCACTTCAAATGTTGAAAAGGATTCTACAGCATAGTTTGTTTTTTTTTCCCTTTTTGAGGGGGGGTAGAGGTTAACTTTGACAATGCATTTGAATACATTTCACTATTTAATAATGAAGGTATGAATGCAGTTAGTAAAATAAATAGGAAATTTATAAAACTCTCTGAATACAATGCTGCTAACTTTATATTATAGGGATATAATCACTACATGGTCATATATCTAATGAGTGACATGATGTGATAAATGCATAAATATATAAGAAAAATTAAAATATATTATTTAATGGATGCCTCCTGTATATTTAAAAGTAACCCACATAAAGATTCAGCTAAATGGAGCTACCTAAAGTGTAGGGTAGCTTTATCTTTCTTATCTTTGTATTCAAAGTTCTGTTAATATTTGAGGGGAAAACGTTAAAGGATCTGCAGGATCCCATCTCATGTCTATGTAAGACACTTATGTAGAACTGTACCCACTTTTAAGTGACCCATGAAAAACTTACTTCAGAACTATTTTTAAAAACAGGTAATGGATTTCACTATTACTTTAAATAAATACTCTAAAAATTTGTCCGGTTTCAAAAATGCCTCAAAACTCATTGTTCCTTTTTACCTGAACACCAGACTTAAAACTATGAACTATATTTTTCTGTGAAAGTGAGCAGTATTACCTATGGATATACAAAATTCATTTGCAAATAAGATTCTACAAACAGGAGTTAGGATAGTGTTAAATGTGACAAGCTTATTAAATTTTAAGTAACACCAAACTGGCAGTTTTTCTTTTTTCAGTAATTTTCACTTACGTATACCCTTAGTACCATGTTGGGAGTTTGAGGTTGGTGGGGAGGGAAAGATAATATATGGAGAATGTGGCCTTAAAATCCTCCTTCCCTTCAAATAAATTTTATCATAAAAGGTTCAAGTTTTGGTGAACTGTCATTTAAACTTCATTTAAAATTAAGGGATAAAGATATCCTATTTACCTCATCTTTAATGATTTTCATGAAAGGAAATATGACTCTCACATTAGTTGCTGTTCTTAAGAGCTGGTAGCATTGATCTACAAAAACTTGTTTTGAAGGATTAGACTTAAGCTGAAGTTTACTCCATATGAAAATCAACTCCCTGTAAATGAGAAAAAAAAGAGAAATATCAAAAATACAGTTTATTCAAATACAGGTATTAACTGTCTTTTGCTGATTCTTTAAGTACCCTGGCTGGGGTGTATACAAAGTGGGCGTAAATGGATATTATGTTAACCTCCAAGCTACTTCTGCTACCTGTGTGGGACTGACAGAAGCTGGAGAGAAAAGAGAGATCAGAAACTAATCTTACAGTGGTAAGGAATGAATTCCAATCATATGCTGACAAACCTAGGCACCTCTAGTACATGATAACAAATTCTAATCCCTATGTACCAATATTAATGATATTACTTTAAAAAAAAATAAACTGTGGTCTTTAATACCTACTTGTAAATTTAGAAATCAGTTTTGTACACTTTCTGCAAAGAAACGTTTATTATTTTTTCATTTTCAATCTATTAAGATACCCAAAGTACTATAGATTAAAAGTGTAAGAAGATATAGTATGGATTCTAAAATTTTAAATATAAGATCATCTGCTCATTCATTAAGATGGAGTACTTTTAAACAGACAAGCTATGGACCATTTAAAGTATTTCACAGGTAGATTCTCTTCTAAAATATGGCTAACGTTATTAGACAAGGGAGGAGCAGGGGCTTTTGAGACAAAGGAAATCATAAGATATAAATGATATATTTAGATATCATATGCTAGTAAATTATAACTCTTTAAAATGTGTCAAGTGACATAAAGCACCGTAATCTAAAAAGTATTAAAATAATTGATGCATTTTTTTTAAGTGATTGACTGAGTATGTAACTTTGAGCCCAACACATACAGCTATTAAGTCTAAGGACAGCTTGACTACTATCATGAAGGTGCACATAGTCTACTTAGAGAGACAATACAGAAAACACAAAAGAGAAAATGATAGCAAGCAACATAGAAGAAATAAAACCAAAATTCTACTTCCATCTCCTTCTAGCTGTGTGTGGGTGTTCATAAGTTTCAATCCACAACCCCACTTTTTTTGCATACATAAAAGCTCACCAGGTTTCACACCTTGCTCCCAAATCTCTAGCTCTGACTTCTTTCCAATTTCTATGCCTGGATATTTCAATTTAGATTGCTGTCTACCACCAGAATCCACTTAGAATAAATAATACTCTTGCAAAACTATCTTTTCCTAGGTCAGTCAATGACACTAAACATACCTCAAACCTGTTTGGTTCTAATCCGTTTATTTCCCACAGCCTGTGTATTTCAATTATATTTTTGCCCACAACCATACCATGCTTTCTCAGTACTACTACGTTAAGTCTTCTAATCTTACATATGTACTTCTACAGGGGTTGCTAAGCTGATCTGTTTCCAGACTTTCAAATCATTTCATTCAGTGTATTTCATATCTCACATAGTATTAATAACAACAAAAACATGGGTTTTGGGGTCAGAAGGATAGGATTTTAATCCTGTGCACTCTTCAAGGCTAATCAGTTAATGTGCTTTGTTTATTCTCATTTTGTTTATGCTAATTTACTGTACTTGGAAAGTACCTCATTTCTAAGATGAGCTTATTATCAAGTACCTTCTTCATGAATGCCTTCATGAATACCCCAAACTAAAGTGATAACTACTTTAGAACAGATCTTATCCCTCTTGTTGATTTCATGCCTTTCATGTATTTCCTTGTTGATATTTTCTAATTTTGTAGGTCCTGTCCCCCCAACTATTACTACATTGTAAATCTCAGTGACACATTATATAGGCGAAGTAGTGGCAAGAAGAACATGAGACTGGGAATAAGAGATTTCTCAATAGGTGTGATATTACCCAGTTCACACTGAGCCACCTTTCTCTGGAAGTAGCCCTACTACACAAGGTTGGAACACCAATGGCCATGTTTCCTATATGAACCTCCTCACCATCCTTAAGATATTAAGTCAGGGGTATAAAACTGACCCCAGTTAGGCCAGAGTCCCTGGAATGTTCTCAACTCTAAACTATGAAGGCTGGAGACTGTTGACATTCCTTCTGATCTGCAACAGGAGAGAATGAAGTCAACTGGCAGAAAAGACAAATCAGTGTCCCTGGTAGCAGTTGTATTTGGGTACCTACTATATCCCTGCCCCCCTTTTTTTGTCATACCCCAGTATTTTTTCCATGCCCAATACCTTTTCCCTAAACTAATTAGACATAGGGTGCTACCACTTGCAAACTGACTAGTATAAATCCCAACTCCATTTTGTTACTACCTATGTGGCTTTTCTCTTTTATCCAGTTTTCTTATACATAAAAAGAATTGAGAGAGGTAAGTGAAAACACCTAGGTGAAATGTCTAGTATATACCAATGTTTAATAAATCACTAATTTCCTATATTCTTTCCTTATCTTTACAGTCTTAATAGTACCAAGCAGTGAGATTTATTCAATAAATATTTGGTAGTTAATAAATTGGTAAAAGAAAAAAAAAATGTATTCCCAAATGCAAAGACATTTAGGAGGAGTCTCTTGAGGAAATATATTAAGGGAAATTGTAGACAGAATGATATAAAGATGATGGTGGACATTCTAAATAAGGGTTATTTTATGAACAAAGGGATGAGGGAGAAGGCAAGCAGATTAACTGTTTAAGAAGACATGCCGTATCTCTGCAACAGATTTAAAGAGAAAAAAGTAAAAAATGATAGTTGGAAGTTATGGGAGAGTATTTCACTGCATTTAATTTTACACAGATGAACGTTTAACATATTAGAAATGTATATATTTATTCTCCAACTTGCTCCAAAAAAAAGTTGAGACTCTTAAGACTCCTTAGAATACAATATTATTATTATTACTCTTTTTTGAAGAGCGAGATCTTATTTCCCTTTGTTTCTCTTAATTCAGGATGAAACTTGGTGAACAAAATGTAATCTCAAGATCCTGATAAATTTACCAGAAAAGGGCTACCAATATGGATTTTAGCTTTCTAGCAAGCAAAGCAGAAATCTCAGGATATGGTTATGAAGCTCCATTTTGACTGAACTTACAAAAGGGTTCTAAGGTTTTACTTACACAATGGATTTTGATTGTATAAACACCCTGAAAACCAGTGATAGTCGTCTTTGCTTATGTGCAAGCACTGTTTATGAAGCTTACATTTTCTTTTCAAACAGAGGGTCCTTCAGAAAACACAGCACCTATATGGTGTACAAACACATTTCCCAGGTAGCTAACGACTAATAAAATCATCAAGTTGCAGAGAGTGCAGGTCTATGTATAATAAGTAGTATTTAACAGCAGAGGCTCTGAGTCAGGCTGCCTGGGTATGAATCCTGGCTTCATTATTTACTAGTTGCATGGTTTAGGCATAATAGTATCTATCCCATAAGATTATTGGAATAAATAAGAGAATGCATATACAAAGTATAGACTATAGAAAGCATTCAGTAGATATTAGTAGCTGCTATTATTATTACTAGTAGTTGTTGTTAGCAATGGTTGAGAGAAATGGGGTTGGTAACTTGCTCCACTGGCTTCAGATAGAGCAAAACTGAACTGTGGATCAGGTTCTGTCCACAGAGAGGGGAGACGAGGTTAAGCTGGTTCATAAGGAAGGCCAAAATGAAATAGACAACACAGACCTTATAGGCTGGAAAGAATCCTGCTCTTCAGTTACGGTGAAAATCAATATTGAGAAGCAAGAAAAAAGGATCCCAGCAATTCAGAAATATAGAGAGTTAGAAGAAATAAAAGAGCAGGCAATCAGAACTCCGCCTACCCAGAAGGAAGGATAAAGAACAGTTAGGCAGCTGGGAGTTGCATACCCAGCTTCTATTCTTAGAGGGTGCCAGTGGCTGGGGGCAGGAAAGATAGGCACTCTTCTATTTTTAAGGTCCCTCCCTAAAGAGTTAAATGGTTAGCCAAAAGAAGAAAATAGAATGTCTTCTTGGTCTTTTTGTTTGTTTGTTTATACTTGAGATTCCAATTTACTTATGAGTATATTAAAATGAAAAGGCTAAAGATATCCTGTTTAAATAGCTTAATATAGCTGAAGTCAGAACATTCCTTTCCTCCTTTCCCCATAGGAAAAGATCTACTATAATAGTCATGACTATATTCTAACTACATATCAAGAAATGATAATACTTTAGGGGCACCTGGGTGGCTCAGTCGGTTAAGCATCCAACTCTTGATTTTGGCCCAGGTCATGATTTCAGGGTTGTGAGATTGAGGCATGGGTTGGTGTGGAGCCTGCTTGAGATTCTCTCTCTCCCTCTCCTTCTGCCCCTCCCACGTCCCCCCACTCTTAAAAAAAAAAAAAAAGAAATGATAATATTTTAAAAACTATTTAAACTTGTGTGTCTTACCACTGTTTCCTGATCCCCTCTATTTGAAATTCCAATTTACATGGTAAACTTTTTAATACAGATTTGCATAATCTAACTAAAAGTATACTCCCTTAGAAGCCCACTAGTTTCTAGACCCAGCTCTGCTACTAATTAGCTATTTGACTATATCTCTGAGTCTGAAGATTTTAATCTCTAAAATCTGAAGATTTTAATCTCTTAAATCATTAAATCCATCTTCAAGCTGCTGTTTTAAATATTTAAGAATTTAGGTCCAAGATGGCAACATAGGGAGGCCCTGAACTCAGCTCCTCCAGGGACACACCAAATCTATAACCATTTATAGAGTAGTTCCTCCTGAAGAACTAAGGACTGACTGAACAACTTCTGCACAACAAAAGATAGGGAGACCACATACAGAACAGCAAGAAAGATGGAAACACGGTAATGAAGGGAACCCCCACTCCCAACACTGTGCACTGCAGTGGGAGGGGTAGTACTGAGGGTCTGCGAGCAGATTCATCTGTCCTGAGGCATGCACATGCACACACACCCACACCCACACGCGGACATACACACACACACACACACACACACAAAGCTGCAGTTTAAAAGGGCAACTAGAATATAAGGAATCTGGCCCTAGAACTCTGCCAAACGTCAGGGACACTGCTGGAACTCTCATTCTAAGTCAGTGGGGCTGTCAAGCACCACAGTTTACATTCCCCATCCACCTTGACAGCATGGACAGGAGCATGGTCCGGGCACCGTACCGCCTCAGTGATCCCTGGTCCTCTACCCATACCAGCCCCAAATGTCCCACTGGCAGCCCCTGTGTAGTGCCCACCAGGACACCTGTAGTCAGTGTTCACTATAGCTCCAGACTACCTGACAAGGTAACACAGGCACAAAGCACCCTGAAATACTCCAGGCCCACACCACTTCAGCTCCAGACAACTTGCCAGAGTACCCCTGGAGCAGAGCATCCCAGGGCACCATAGTCCATACCTGCTTTTGCTCCGCCTGCCCCATGAGGTCAACCCCCTACACAGCGTATCCTAGGACACCCCAGCCTGTACCCACTTTACCATCTGCTGTCACCCTCAACACAGGAGAGCCCTGGGACCACCCTGCACCCACTTCAGCTTCAGCTGTTCTGTGCCAGTGTACCTTCTGTGCAGAGAACCCCAGCACCACCCTAGCCTACATCCACTTCAGCTCCGGCCTTCCCACCAGCGTGGCCCCAGTACACAGTGGGCCAGCCACAGCTTGAGCTAGCTAGCCAAAGTCACCAGGCACACACAGTTTACACAGGAGATGACCATACACAAGATCATTCCTTCAGGTGCGGAAGCAGCTGTTCCACCTAATTCATAGAAACAAAAACAAAGTCAAGCAAATGAGGAGACAGAGGAATATGCTCCAAATGAAAGAACAAGGAAAAAACCTCAGAAAAAGAACTAAATGAAACAGGTAAGTGATCCACCTGATAAAAAGTTCAAAGTGGATGAACTCAGTGAGAATTTCATTAAAGATATAGAAAATATAAAAAAGAACCACCAGAGTTGACAAGTGCAAAAACTGAAGTGAAAAATACATTAAAGGGAACCAACAGATGAGTGAATGCAGAACTGATCAGTGGTCTGAAAGGGTAATGGAAAGCACCCAAGCTGAATGGCAAAAAGAAAAAAGAATTATAAAAAATGAGGATGGGCTAAGGGATTTCTTAGATAACACCAAGCAAACAAACATTTACATTATAGGGGTCCTAGAAGGTGGAGAGAGAGAGAGAAAGGGGCAGAGAACTTACATGAAGAAATAATAGCTGACAACATCCAGGTTTGGGAGGCACAGAGAGTTTGAAACAAGATGAACCCACGGAGGTCCACACCACTACACATAATAATTAAAATGTCGAAGAGGAAAGATAAAAAAGTACAGTTCCTTACCCAGAACTATGCAATTAAAAGCTCTGAGAGTAGGCATGAAAACCTGCATTAAATAACAAGCCCTGTGTGTGACTGAATTAATGCTTACTAAAGTTTTTAAAGAGCTACTTGATACTAGAATGACAGATTTTAAATTCCTTAAGGTTGCTTAATGCATGTAACAATTTATAATTGTGTGTGTAAATGGTGGGGTTGAGGAGCGATGGATGGGGTAGAAGAGTGCTAAAGTATGACAGACCTAACAGTCTGGGAACTAGTTATGAAAATGACAGTTTTCTTGAGGTAGAGAGTGTGGCTATCAGGACAGTACAGAGAAGATATATGAACAAGCACTGGTGACTGAAATGTCTTTTTTATGGTGCTTGGTGGCTGTGGTTCACTACTTAAGTCCCTCTGGGAAATAAACCCTGTTATGGTGAGAGTTTTCAAAAACTATTACCAGAAATAAATTAGACTGAAGCATATAATGTAAAACGTGTTTAAATTTGACTGATTCCTAAAGGATAAAAATTGCTGTTTTTAGGAGTGTGGTATCCTTTTAAAGCCCAAATATATCTTGACTCACTATTCTGGATAATTTTTATCACTACCAATCACTCAAACCAACATATAACTTTAACTTAACAAGCTGTAACCACCAGGTTAAACAATTTTAAAAAACTAGGAGTTTATTTTATTTCTTATATTTCTTATCTTCAGGGACATTAGTCGTGGAATTTCTCTCTTCAGAAAAATAAACTTTAAATATAGACAATATATAGTGAAGGCTTTCTACTCTATTAAAACTTGCCACTGATGTTAAGTTTATCTATTAAAGAGAAAGTTTGTGAAAAATACATATTTCAGAATTTAAAATTCAAAAGTATTGATTAAAAAATGCCTATACCTGGGGTGCCTGGGTGGCTCAGTAAGGGTCTGACTCTTGATTTTGGCTCAGGTCATGATCTCAGGGTTGTGGGAAGAAAACTACAAAACTAATGAATGAAATCAAAGAACTAAATAAATGGAGAAATATTCCATGTTTCCATGGATAGGAAAACAATGTTGTCATGATGTCAGTTCTTCCCAACTTGATCTACAAATTCAATGCAATCCCAATCAAAACCCCACGAGGTTATTTTATGGATATCAACAAACTGATTCTAAGGTTTATATTGAGGCAGAAGACCCAGAATAGCCAACAGAATATTGAAGAACAAAGTTGGAAGACTGATGAGACCCCACTTTGAAACATATTTATAAAGCTAAAGTAATAAAGACAATGTTGTATTGGTGAAAAGACAAATATATCAAGAGGACAGAACAGAGAGCCCAGAAATAGACCCACATAAATATAGTCAACTGATCTTTGATAAAGGAGCCAAGGCAATACAATGGAGTAAAGACAGTCTCATCAACAAATGGTGCTGGAACAACTGGACATCCGCATGCAAAAAAAAAAATTGAATCTAGATACACACTTTATACCTTTCACAAAGACTAACTCAAAATGGATCACAGACCTAATCATAAAATGCAAAACTATAAAACTCCTAGAAGATAACATAGGAGAACACCTAGATGATCCTGGATATGGTGATGTCTTTTTAGAACACCATAATCATGATCCATGAAAGAAATAATTGATAAGCTAGACTTTGTTTAAAAATTAAAAACTCTGCTCTGTGAAAAACAGTATCAAGAGAATTAAAAGACAAACCACAGATTGGGAGAAAATATTTGTAAAAGACACATCTGATAAAGGGCTACTATACATAATATACAAAGACCTTTCAAAACTCAAAAAGAAAACTAATAATCT